AGCATGAAACATCTTTTAGTGAGTGTCTACAAAGTTTGTTCAAATAAAAGCCCTGGGGTCAAATTGGCCCCGCCCTGGGGGTCATTGATTTTCTTTATATGTGTATAGCAAAAACTTAAAATCTTCTTTGAAAAAACCCAAATAGCTAGAGTTTAGATATTAAGCATGAAACATCTTCTAGTAAGTGTCTACAAAGTTTGTTCAAATAAAAGCCTGGGGTCAAAACTGGCCCGGCCCCAGGGGTGTCATTGTTTTTAACTATATGTGTATAGTAAAAACTTTAAAAAAAATCTTCTTTTAAAAATCCCAATGAGCTAGAGCTTAGATGTTTATCATGAAACATCTTCTTATGGGTGTCTACCAAGTTTGTGCAAATAAAAGCCATTGGGTTAAATTGGCCCTGCAACGTTGGGGGGGGGGGGGTTGGGGGGCCTATATACAGGTGAGCGACCTCAGGGCCATCATGGCCCTCTTGTTAGAGTTATTGCCCTTCACTTAGAAAATTTTTGCAATCGGTGGGGGCACCCGTGTCCTATTGACACATTTCTAGTTTAAAATGTTTTAGTCTATTATACATTTTTAGCTCACCAGAGCCGAAGGCTCAGGGTGAGCTATTAGTATCAAAGGGGGACGCTCTGACGTCCGTCGTCCGTCGTCATGCGTCAACAATCGTCTTCTTCTCTGAAACTACTGGGCAGATTTACTTAAAATTTGGTCTGTAGCATCCTTGTGACAGTCACACTTGAATTTGCTCATGTCATTCCAATTGGCCCCTTTAAAGGGTCAGCAGAGCTAAAAATAGAAAAACCTTTAAACATCTTCCTCTACAGAACTAATGGATAGATGATGACCAAACTTTGTCTGTAGCATTCTTGGGTAGTCTTTTATCAAGTTTACTCATATTAATTTGATTGGCCCCTTGTAGGGGTCTCTAGAGCTAAAAATAGAAAAACCTTTAAACGTCTATTTCTACAGAACTAATTGATGGATAATCACCAAACTTTGTCTGTAGCATTCTTGGGTAGTCTTTTATCAAGTTTGCTAATATTATTTTGATTGGCCCCTTTAAGGGGTCTCTAGGGCTTAAAATAGAAAAACCTTTTAACAGCTTCTCCTACAGAACTAATTGATGGATGATCACCAAACTCTGTCCGTAGCATTCTTGGGTAGTGTTTTAGCAAGTTTGCTCATGTTAATTTGATTGGCCCCTTTTAGGGGCCACTAAAGCTAAAAATAGAAATACCGTTAAATGTCTATTTCTAGAGAACTAATTGATGGATGATCCCCAAATTTTGTCTGTAGCTTTGTTGGGTAGTCTTTTATCAAGTTTGCTAATATTATTTTGGTTGGCCCCTTTAAGGGGTCTGTAGGGCTAAAAATAGAAAAACCTTTAAACATTTTCTCCTACCACACTAATTGATGGACGATAACCAAATTTTGTCGACAGCATTTTCGGGTAGTGTTTTATCAAGTTTGCTCATATTAATTTGATTGGCCCCCTTTTAGGGGCCACTAAAGCTAAAAATAGAAATACCAATAAATGTCTATTTCTAGAGAACTAATTGATGGATGATCACCAAACTTTGTCTGTAGCATTCTTGGGTAGCCTTTTATCAAGTTTGCTAATATAATTTTGATTAGCCCCTTTTAGGGGCCGCAAAAGCTAAAAATAGAAATACCTTTAAATGTCTATTTCTACAGTACTAATTGATGGATAATCACCAAACTTTGTCTGTAGCATTCTTGGGAAAGCTTTTATCAAGTTTGCTCATATTAATTTGATTGGCCCCTTTTAGGGGCCGCTTAAGCTAAAAATAGAAAAACTTTAAACATCTCCTACTTCAGAACCAATTGATGGATGATCACCAAACTTTGTCTGTAGCATTCTTGGGTACTCTTTTATCAAGTTTGCTCATATTAATTTGATTAGCCCCTTTTAGGGGCCACTAAAGCTAAAAATAGAAAAAACCTTCGAACATCATTTCCTACTGAAATAATTGATAGATGATCACCAAACTTTGTAGCATTCTTAGGTAGTCTTTTATCAAGTTTGCTCATATTAATTTGATTAGCCCCGTTTAAGCTAAAGCTTAAATGCCCCAGGTCATGGCATTTCTTCAAATTATTGTTTAAACATATTCTATGCTCAAGTTTAATATGAAAATATATTGACATTCCAACACTGAAAAGCAGTTGTTTCTGGTGAGCGACTTAGGGCCATCATGGCCCTCTTGTTGAGTATTTGGGATTCATTCGGCTGCTTTTTTTTAGATCCTCTGTACTTACTACAATGTTTACATTTTAGCCTCAATTGTTCTGGAATTTCATTCAGTACACGAATTATCGGGTAAGAATTTGGAAATTTGTCCCTTGTCATCGTGAGAGGTTAGTACAAGAAGAATTACAAAAAAGAAGTTCTATCCTTAAATTAATGCATTACCTCCGCTTTGAAGAGTATTCAAATAGGCTAGAATTTCTGCAACCTGCATGGAAGCTGAGGGGCGTCGGTTCAAACCCCAGAAGGGGCAACTTTTTTTTCTCTTTTTAACATTATTTATCATGTATCTCTCAGATCCCTTATGAAAGAAGAACGTGTTTGATTTTAATTATATAATTATTGTATAGAGGATATTTGTTTGTTTGTGTGTAAACAGCTAGGGAAATTGAAAACTTGAAAGCTGGTTCAGGAACGCTGGGTTGTTTACTTATTATTCGAGCTGATGGCTGTCATTGCTTTAAACACTAATAAAGCATAGGGCAGTATATTTTAATATGCCCAAATGTCATCAAGAGCAGTTTTGCATGTGGAAGGAATGTATTTTCCACACTGTTAAATTGAAACAAAAAATTTAGAGACGAATTTTGGTGATTGGAATTTGAATGAATAGAAGTATGTTTTCTTCTTTTTATTACTTTTGACATTTAAGTTATTTATTAATTTCAGCGTTGCTTTATCTTTAAACAGCCTGACATTGTCAGAATTGTCATAAAAAAAAATTGAGGTACCACATGGGGAAAATCTTAAAAAAGTAGTTTCGTCATTGAAAAGTGTGAAATTATATTTTGATAATTTTCACTGTGAAATTATAAGGATAAATCAGTAATCCACTGAAAAGCATAAAGTTAAGCTATTTATTAACTAAATAATGCCAAAAAAGCAAATATTGAACCAGATATTTTCAAAGTCTAATGAAATAAAATCTACACGGTAAAAAGTATTTTATATTTTGAAAACAGCCCCTCATTATGGTAAATTTTAGGGATATTTTAAATAAGAATTTTTAAATAAGGAAATGGTCAAACAAGTGTTTAAAGTCAGTGGGGTAAGGTAACATTTTTATATATACATGTATTAAAATATTTTGTGTAGAAACAATCATTTTGCTTGCGTGATTTTTTACTTAAATGTTATTTTTTTGTTTCTAAATTAAATGATCAATAGGAAAACATTTTTCATAATGATGATGTAGATTATTGAGAGTTTCCTCATTTCTGAAAAAAAGCCCTTCTAATACATGTAGCTTAGTTTTAGTTCAGGAAAATGTCCATAACTCATAAACCAAACGGATTTTCTTTTAATTTCGCATACATGTGTCCTTTAAGACATATAACTGTCCCATGTTGTCAATTTTAAAGTTCCTTATAGTGCCCATTATGGATTGTTTACCTTAAATCTAGTATTAAAGTTTATGGATTCAAGAAATAGTAGCCTTCACACATTAAGATTTGCTTGCCTTAGTTTTAATAGGTGCTGTACTTCTAAATCCTACCATCTGTTCAGGCCTTTACACTGCCTAAAGGCCATATAAATATTTTCTATAGTTAATTATAGTTAGTACAAGAACATACATTTATTTATACATGGATTTATTAATTAGTGACTATGTTTATTTGCTCTTTACACTAAATTGTCGTATGTATCAGATACATTAAATTGTATTTTCTTCAAAAATGTCTTACATACCACTTTTTAGGAGACCTTTCGCTAGGACAAACAACAATTTATCTCCAGCTTCGTAGCGAAACTGTCTTCTTATGTCTTTTGTTAAGAAAAACCATATCCATTACATATATAAAAGGTCAAAAACATTTTTACAACCATACAGTCAACTATAATATGGGACAACTGGGCATAAGACCTACTTTAGTTACCTAGTAATGGGATAGTGTTTAAGAAGTCAGAATCTCACTTTACCTAACGAGTCAACGACTTGTGTCTCAATCTTCACCAGTGAACAATAAAGGGTGTTGAATGGTGAATAAATTAATAAACAATGATAAAAATTATAAACTAGAATTTAAACCCAAAAATATTTCTATTTTCATTTCACAAAAGCTTTTCTTATTTCTGGTTTAATGTTAAAGTTTCCAAAATATAACTCATTTGCCTATTACCTGAACGAGTTTTTGCTTATGTTGCCTTTTTACAATTTAATTACTGTTGACTGAGATACTCCTTATTTCATTCACCTATTCAATTAGCAAAAATCTTGAAAAGTAGGCTGAATTTCGTGAAAATAATCTTGTTGAGGAATAAAGAGAAGTGTTTTCGCAGGCGTATGTGGCTATTACTTATTTTCAGTTCGGCTAAATAATAAATATATTGGCTAGTTTACTTACCACGAGATATCCGCCATTTATTGCACAAATTCTGCGTTACTTATAACACGAATCGTACGATATTTTCACATTCCGGTGGAGAACGTGTTTTTAATTTTGCCTATGATACAAAAGAGAAAGAACATCAAAACACTCGGCAACCTGATTTATACTTGTGGGGGCTTCCCCCCTCCCCCCCCCCCATGTAGAGATCAGATAGCCTTGTGTTCGATGCTCTTTCTATTACTTATTGATCTATATAAATAGCGTAATTTCTCGCTGATTAGGTTTACGATGCAGTTTCAATACATATCTCGATCATTAAAATTCGCTTTTTGCATGTTTACTTATATTTAATATCAAAATAGATTTTACATGTGATCATAAAATAATTCATCCTTGACATGATCGTACATCATACCCATTTATAAGCGTTATGCCTGCCCAAGCAAAATAAAGTGTACTTTAATACATGTCCGCGTCGAAAGAAAATCACTATACTAGTAGTTGATGTACTATAGCTGCGCTAATAATTGGCTTAACTTCTCAAGGTATGTGCGCAATTTTTATTTACAAAACAATTCAATATTTATAGTAAGCCATGAAAATTTATTTATTTTAATCTGTGTGGATGACATGTATATAAAAAGATTATCCGTTAAAGTGCATGGATGCGGTAAAAGAAGTAGACCCTTCCGATATGGTACTTATAGCTCAATATGCCGATAACTTAAGAAATGGATTGACCTTTCGTGATGTTAACGAAAGGGTGAATTTCAATGCACTTACGATACGAATTAATTTCGAACATTGTCGTTATTTATGTTATTTCAATGACAATATATGAAGAACCTTTAGATTACGAGGATTATTTTAGCACTAAGTGAATTTTCTTTTTCAATTTCAAAATCATTAGAATGCTTTATATAGCGTTATGTTACTCATATACAGGGTATAAAATGCTGAATTTTTCTTCTAATGATTACTTAACTGATATATAGCAAGTGCAAAATTCTCATCTATTATGTTTTAGTTGAGTTTTACGTATATGAATCAAGAAAATATAATTTCTCCTTATTGAAAGTGCACTGAAATATAATGGATTAGAAAGAACAAAGAAAACATCCGAACCATGCTATAATAATTTCTGTAAACTGTGCAAAATGACATATAATGAAAAGTGTTTAAACGATTTTAGTTCAAAGTGGTTTTAGAATTATACTAAATATTGATTTTTAGTTTTATTTTGAGTAACTACAATGTATATGACTTTATCATCTTTATCATATATTTTTCCCGTTTTTAGTGTCTCAACTGATGGATCCTAACCTTTTATTTTATTTTCGAATTTGATATTTTTGACCAACAAATTTTATGACAATCTCAAATTTGAAAGGTGAAAATAATTGGAAGGGAACGAATGCTAAAAAACACTATATTTTCACAAATTTCTTTATATTCAAACGAAATTTAAAATGAAATCATGTGCATTATTTTTCATCAATATCTCGCGTAAATTTGGAATATTTAGAAAGATTTGTCTTATCTGTTAACCTCTGCACTTTTTCTAGTAATATACGATACAAGTGGGAGAATACACTTACGCACATGTATTTTCTCTTCTGTTTTGTCTTCTAGAATTGCTTTGTCCCCAATTCTATATGTATATATATAGTATAGGAGTAATTTACATTTGCTTTTCAGATTGCACCATGGCAATGCTAAGGATGACTGTGTTCATTATTCTTGTAGCTTTCGTCTACAATTATTATCGATCAAAAAACAAAAACAGATTGGCTGTACTTGAAGGCGTTCCTGACGACGAGTATGATTACGTCATCATTGGTGCAGGATCGGCAGGTTCCGTACTAGCCGCGAGACTTTCCGAAGATAAACACTCAAAAGTGCTCCTGATTGAAGCTGGTGGGCACTATGATGAAAGTGAAAATTTCCATATTCCGCTTCTTTGGACCCTTTCTCAAAAGACTAAATACGACTGGGAATTCTACACTGAGCCACAGACTCAGTCTTCACAAGGTCTCAAGGATAAACGCGCGTTTTGGCCACGTGGAAAAGTTCTCGGTGGAACAAGCGTTCTAAACGCTATGCAGTATACGCGAGGCAGTCCCTTTGACTTTGACGAATGGGAGGCTGCCGGTTGTGAGGGATGGGGCTATGAAGATGTTCTGCCATACTTTCTAAAGGCTGAGGATATACAAATAACGGAGTTAGAAACATCTAAATATCACAGCAAAGGTGGTCCTTTGGCAGTTTCAAATGGACACATAACACCTCTAACGGATGTGTTCACAAGAGCCGGCCAAGAACTAGGATATAACGTAACTGATTACAACGGAGAAGATCAGGAAGGTTTTAGCATAGTTCAAAAGACGATTAGAAATGGGGTCCGTAGTAGTACTGGCCTAGAATATCTAGGTAGAGCCAATGGAAGACAAAATCTGCATATTTCAACAAACACTTTAGCTACTAAAATTGAAGTTATAAATAAGCGAGCTGTTGGAGTTTTCTATATAAAAGACAGCAAGAAAAGATACGTAAAAGCCAGAAAAGAAATAATCTTATCAGCGGGAGCTGTAAACTCGCCACACTTACTTATGCTGTCGGGAATTGGTCCCGAAAAACATCTAAAAGAGATGAATATACCGCTGGTTGCTAATTTGCCAGTTGGGGAAAACTACAGGATCATGAAATGGTGTTTTTGTTCAGCGA